AAGCTGTCTGGAGAGATGGGCCAGGTTCTTCTTAGCCGCTGTTATTCTCTCCTTGACCAATCTCAACGAAGCTTGGCGGAGGATGGCATTTGCCTGCTTCGATGGGACAGGATTCCTCAGACAAAAAACACATGATTGGCTGACCCCCCCCCTTCCCCCACCACCACAAGGGAAGGCATATAAGGACTACCCAAGGCACCGGAGCTCAGAATCGGAGCTCATAGCCCTGAAGATGCAGACTGCAATGTTTGCGAAACGTCGACGCAACGCTGAATCCAAACGTGGCATCCATCCGAAAGTCAAAGATGTCATTAATCATGGCCGCGAAAGCCTCAAAACTAAGATTAAATGCCTCCACGGAGAGGCTATTCTTGGGTCGTTGAATTTATTCACCAAACTTGGGAAGTCCTTGCACGTCCAACTGTGCTCCCTTTTTTAAAGAAGTGCCGTGACCATCAAGTGGTACCGAAATTACTCCGTCTAAGGAATCCTGTCCCATCAAAGCAGGCAAAGACTATCCTCCGCCAAGCTTCGTTAAGATTGGTCAAGGAGAGAATAACAGCGGCTAAGAAGAACCTGGCTCATCTCTCCAGACAGCTTCTTGATCTCCACCTTCTTCTGGCTCAGACGTTGGAGTCTCAGCTGTGGGAGACTCTCGATCGTGTTACACACGAACAAGCAGTCCGAACAGCTGAGATGAGAACTGAGAGTCAGAATGATACGTTCAAGAAACTGATCCCTCAGGAGAAAGTTCTAACCCTCACTCACACTGTGAAGAATCTGAGTAAATTTGAATTCAGTGAAGCACAAGTGTCTGTGTTGGCGAAACGACACAACTTCGCTGTTGTCTCTAGAAAGATCCCCACCGAGGAAATCATCAGTCGTACCGAGACAGCGATTTACCATCTTCCCCAGGAGACCAGCAATGAGATCCGGAAGCAGTTGACTAACATCCTCCACAAGGCCACTCCCCCTGGTGACAATATATCACCAGGAAGGAACGCCTCGCACTGCGTAGTCTAAAAGAGAATAATGATCTGATTATTCTTCCGGCAGACAAAGGCAATGCCACGGTGGTTATGGATAAAGACGACTACTCCGGTAAGCTCAGTACGATGTTGGGTGACTCCAGAGTTTACGTTAAACTTAGGAAGGACCCTACTCGTACAATTGAGCGAAAAACTGCTGATCTGCTGAAGAAGGCTGGTTTCTCGGCTGACCTGACGAAATTCCTCACCCCTAAAGAATCCTTTCCTCCTAGACTCTATGGACTCCCCAAAATCCATAAAGAGTTTGTTCCTCTCCGTCCCATTGTCAGCAACATTCGAGCGCCAACTTACCAGCTGGCCAAGTTTCTCACGAAACCACTCCAAAAGTTGACTGGCCTGAATGGTTCATACATTCAGAACTCACTGGATTTCGTCAACAAACTGAGAAATCTCCGGACTTCTCGAGATGATATTCTAATGAGTTTTGATGTAGAATCACTCTTCACTAACGTTCTAATCCCAGAAAACTTGGAAATCATCAAGAAATCCAAAAACATCTCTTCCCAATTCCTTCTCCTGATTGAGAATTGCTTGACTTCTACATACTTTCAGTTTGAAGGAGTACTATGAGCAGAAATCGGGAGCGGCAATGGGTTCTCCCGTTTCCCCGATTATTGCAAATATATTCATGGAACACTTCGAGAACGAAGTATTGAAGTCAGCACCTCAGAAACCTACTGTGTGGTTCAGGTATGTGGACGATATCTTTGTCATCTGGCCACATGGAAAGACTGCTGTAACTCAATTCCTGGAGTTCTTGAATACTCAGCACGTGAGCATCAAGTTCGCTATGGAAATTGAACAAGATAGATGTCTTTCATTCCTAGATGTCCTGGTTGGACGCAACGAGGACAGCACTATAGGCCACCAAGTATATCGCAATCCAACCCACACAGATAGGTATCTCAATGCTACCTCCCATCACCATCCCTCCCAGAAGAATTCCGTTATTAGCTCCCTAATGTATAGAGCACTCACAATCTCTCAATCCTCCAACGTTGACAGTGAAGTTGAACATCTTGAAATAGCTCTGGCCAAGAATAGATATAACATCCAACAAATTCGGAAGTTCAAGCAGAAGCTACAAAGCAAGCTCTCATCTCCCGAAGAGGAGACTAATCCTGAGGAAAATCAGGAAAGACCAAAAGTGGCCCTACTTCCCTATCTGAGAAGCACAGCAGAACGCATAAGTAGAGTACTTGGCAAACATAACATTCGAATGATTTTCCAGCCTCCAAAGAAGATCGGACAGATGCTGCCAAGTGCAAAGGATCCAAGACCACCTGTANATTCAGAACTCACTGGATTTCGTCAACAAACTGAGAAATCTCCGGACTTCTCGAGATGATATTCTAATGAGTTTTGATGTAGAATCACTCTTCACTAACGTTCTAATCCCAGAAAACTTGGAAATCATCAAGAAATCCAAAAACATCTCTTCCCAATTCCTTCTCCTGATTGAGAATTGCTTGACTTCTACATACTTTCAGTTTGAAGGAGTACTATGAGCAGAAATCGGGAGCGGCAATGGGTTCTNACCTGAACAGGGACAGAGGATATCAAGTGAACCCCATTTGGAAAACCGTCCTTCCGGTTTTTTAATTGACCAGCTGATCAATTAAACACATATGATTGGCTGACCACCACCCCCCTTCCCCTTCCCTCACCACCGCAAAGGAAGGCATATAAGGACTACCCNGAAGTCAGCACCTCAGAAACCTACTGTGTGGTTCAGGTATGTGGACGATATCTTTGTCATCTGGCCACATGGAAAGACTGCTGTAACTCAATTCCTGGAGTTCTTGAATACTCAGCACGTGAGCATCAAGTTCGCTATGGAAATTGAACAAGATAGATGTCTTTCATTCCTAGATGTCCTGGTTGGACGCAACGAGGACAGCACTATAGGCCACCAAGTATATCGCAATCCAACCCACACAGATAGGTATCTCAATGCTACCTCCCATCACCATCCCTCCCAGAAGAATTCCGTTATTAGCTCCCTAATGTATAGAGCACTCACAATCTCTCAATCCTCCAACGTTGACAGTGAAGTTGAACATCTTGAAATAGCTCTGGCCAAGAATAGATATAACATCCAACAAATTCGGAAGTTCAAGCAGAAGCTACAAAGCAAGCTCTCATCTCCCGAAGAGGAGACTAATCCTGAGGAAAATCAGGAAAGACCAAAAGTGGCCCTACTTCCCTATCTGAGAAGCACAGCAGAACGCATAAGTAGAGTACTTGGCAAACATAACATTCGAATGATTTTCCAGCCTCCAAAGAAGATCGGACAGATGCTGCCAAGTGCAAAGGATCCAAGACCACCTGTAAGCACACCAAGAGTGTACGAGATCCCCTGCTCATGCGGGAAAGTGTACATTGGAGAAACCGGGAGGAAGATCAGTACACGGATCAAGGAACACCAGCGGTGCTCCAAATACGGTCACTTAGAACAGTCTGCCCGGGCTGAACACTGGATGGACACTGGACATACTATCCAGCACGACCAAGCCAGAATGTTGGCCAAATCTCAATGGTATTTCAAAAGGAAATACCGAGAGGGTTTGGAGATCCATAAAAACCCTAACAACCTGAACAGGGACAGAGGATATCAAGTGAACCCCATTTGGAAAACCGTCCTTCCGGTTTTTTAATTGACCAGCTGATCAATTAAACACATATGATTGGCTGACCACCACCCCCCTTCCCCTTCCCTCACCACCGCAAAGGAAGGCATATAAGGACTACCCCAAGACATCGGAGCTCATAGCCCTGAAGATGCAGACTGCAATGTTTGCGAAACGTTGGCGCAGCGCTGAATCCAAACGTGGCATCCATCCGGAAGCCAAAGATGTCATTCATCATGGCCGCGAAAGCCTCAAAACTATGGATTTGAATACTAGACGTGAAATAAATGAATTGACCCGGCTAGCGATGTTATGCCGCCCTCTCGCAGGGGCCCTCCGGCGATGTCTCTGCTAGATCGTTGCGCAAAAACCTGCTAATGAATTTGATAATTCATTATTTAATAATTCAATCAATCAATAATTAATTAATTAATTAGCGCGGATTGATTGACCCTTCCACCCACCCAGCCCCCTCCCGGGGGCCCTCTGACCAGGTCTCCGCTAGACCCTTGCCCCAGAACCCGCCTTATTTATCTACTTTTGTCTTTCCTCCTCCCATGGAGGCGACTAACAGGTCGCCATTTGCCACGGTAATTAGGCATTATACATATCTCCTCTATTGAACCCATGCCTCAATATAAATTAAAAACGCGTTTTCAAAATGTTCAGATTTTTTTTTACTTTTTTTGCAGTCCAAATTCATTATTTTCGGGTATCTCTCAGTGACGGGGCATCGAGTTAAAATTTCGAGATAAAAATCGAACAAAAAAAGAAATTTAGATAACGTTCAGCAGAAAATGGAGCCGGGCCGAGTAGCGGTCTGGCAGACCCTGGTGTACGATAAACATGCGTTTTCGGAAGGCGTTGGCTGCAAAAGTTGAAAATTCTGACAAATTGAAAACATGACGCCAATTGACTGACGGATATTCTGTGAAATTGGCTGAAATAACTGCAAGTGAAAATGAATGCAATTGCCTACCAATTACTCCCCACATCAGTTTATTCTGGTTACAATACCTCGATAAAACGCTGCCTCAAAAATTACGCTGGGTTGCAACAAGAGCAGCAAGATGTCCCGCTTTTTCAAGGTTCATAAAACGAACTAAATCGTGGATAAGGTGGTAAAATAGAATCAATGAATGAAACACCCATAACATTTGATATTATAATTTTATTGTCTCAGTAATATACTTGATAAAGTAATCCACGCGGTTAATACTCATGAAATATCGAGAAAAAGTAGGACAAAGAACCAAAACCGCGACAATTTTTATAATTTTCATTCTCATATCAATTTTCTTTCGGGCTATCATCAATAAATAATAAATAAGCACGCTACTTGAATGCTCAATATCTTTTCTAACATTCGCGTTACAGTAACTGATTGAAAACTATCAAAATTAAAACAAAAAATAGAAGGTAGGCGTGGGAAAAGAAGATTAACGGATACGTACTAAAAAAATTCCCATTAATGTAGAATAACATAAAATAGAAATACATCTAGCCTACTTGCTAAACAGGTAATACAATAATGATTTTCCTCATTTGAAAGACTGAATAATCGAACCTGCGTACATATTAAAAATTCAAAACTTTGAATAAATCTGTCTCTTTCAAAGCAGTAAACTATTTATACATATATATATATAATGTGTGAGTCTCTACCCCACTCTCTACACTAAGTATAGTATTGATAATATATTTTATTGGATTTTCATTTTTTTTAATTGATTTAAGCGTTTCGTGTAATCAAGTGAACGAAAAATGTTCTGTAGAAACCAGTTAAAAGTATATGAAAACACATTCATCTATTGACTCTTTTTTATCGATGAAAAATCATTATTTAGAATATTAAATTTCATTATTTGAGTTTTCCGAAATTTTGTATTATAAATTTTTTTTCTGGAAAATTGAGTGGGAATCCGTTTAATATGCTCTCAATACGAGATTGTAAAATTCTTTTCGTCTTTCTGTGAAAATTACAATAATATAATTGTCCCTTATTAATTGGCCTATAAATTCTATTCGTTAATCGAATATGTAATTGTTTTGGTTTCTTTTGGTTGTAATGAAGACCCTCAATGATACTTGAGAAAGAACAAATAGTGTGCCTAGTCGGTAAGCCACTAGCCATCAAAGGCTCTAGATATGACGTGAAAAACAGTTTTGTTTCAATAATTGAAAATTTGAAAAAAACCCTGAAAATCAATAGCACATTTTAGACAGTGATGAATCAATTCACTACGAAATCACTATTGAAAAGAAAGTTTTCAAATGCGCTTCGCACTTTTCTGCTGGAGTAACCTTTAAATTGTAAACATGTCAGCTTAGTTATCTAGAACTATGGCTTTTAATGTAAAAAGAATTTTCGCTTTCCTTATTTGAGTGATTAGGAAGAATCTTGATCAACGTGAGAGATTATTCCACCTGGACCTGGTAGTGTTGTGCGACCCATCAGAGCGTAATCAATCTCACGAGCTGCTTGACGGCCCTCAGATATTGCCCACACAACGAGTGACTGTCCTCGTCTGCAGTCTGTTGAATTGAACGATATGAGAATAAATCAATAACTTATTGAATATTAAGATTACTTCCTCAATGGAATGTATGTCTCATAAGATGTTAGAATCATAGCAATCATGAATTGGATCCATAAGTATTAATCATCGAATAGCTCAGCAATCAGTCGAGCAACACGAGAGCTACAAAAAAAGGTCCTCATAGATATTCATCGAAAGCTCAAATTGAAATGAAGTTGCCTTATCACATCACACTCAAGAGTGAGAGAGAGAAAGAGAGCAAGCGAAATTTTTAGACTTTTTTCCAGTCTAAAACTTTTTTATTAGCTATAAGTGATCTTTAAGAAATACCTCTCTCTCAATTTTGTCATCTTCCATAAATTTAAACATATGCAGTAAAAACCATTAAAGTGTAAATCAGCTGTTCTAAAGTTGGATGCCTTTAACCCGTTAGTAGGCGCGCTGAGACTTTTCCTCACCAAAATTTTAACTCCATAGGAAATATAGCCTAAAAGTGCTAATAGTTTGCGGAGATTTTTTAAATGCCTCAAGTAACTTTTCTAGTTGACTCTGGCGATGATAAAAGTCATCTATCGTTGAGTAGAAAAAAAAAAAATTTCTTCAGTTCTATTGAAATTTTCTACGTGTTACGATTACGGGACTCGTTCCGCTGAACCTCAAAACAGAGCCGCCTGTGACGATATTTAACTCTATCCTTATGAGAAGCCGATGAAAGATTCTCTCATCAGGCATCTCAAGAATGCTGGTGGAACCGCGCGCCTACTGACGGGTTAGGGCCCGGCCTGCAAGATTTTTTTTCCATTTTTATCACTAGATTACTCAGAATTTCCCAGAATCCATGTGCCTTATAGCCATTTACGGGGATACCAATTGCGGGCGGAAAAATGGGTGTAAAAGTCTAATTTGGAAGTTGAATGCAAGCCCATAACCTCTTATATGTCGGTAATTGGGTCTCGGGGGTGAATAATACTAATTAGCATGTAATTATGAAGACATAATGCACCCCAAAATTCACCAATTTTTCCAGTTCACAACACAATATGGTGGCTGAATTCTACCACTAAAACAAACACTAATTATAATTCGTGAGGGAGCAACACACACACACGACACCTAATTACCGACGCATCAAACATGACCTTCCGTTTGATCCCAAAATTGGATTTTTTTAATGCCTTTTTTCGCACGTAATTAGTATCCCCATAATTAAGTTGATCACTTGTCAATTTCAGGAGATTTTAGCTCCACGAAAATCTGGCAGATGTCGCTATCATCAACTCGGCAACATAAAGTATGATAGAGGAAAGTAATGTCAAGCATTGTTCTCGAGCCTGTCCCCAAAAGTATTTCTGAACTACGCTGTAAGAGGGCAGGACATTTGACTACCCCTTCTCCACTACACTGCGAGAAAAAATTATTCCTGCCAAGGATTGATATTCTCGTCAGAAGATAATATTTTTTCAGAACGAATTTTTCCAGGACAGTCATTTTCAGAGACTCCAAGTCTATCCTCAACAATTACAGTGATATTGAACAATCTGATTATTATGCTACATATGACCTTGACAAAATGTTCTCCGATATCTTCCGGATTTTACAAATTGGCGATTTTCTCAGGTAAAGAAAATTGGAATAATTCCAAATGTTAATAATTATTATTGGAGTTTCTTCGAGGTCATATGTAGAAGAATATTCTTATAGATCACCATAATTCTCACGCTTGGAACTGATTTCGGAGAACCTGGAAATGACTGGCCTGGAGAAATACGTTCCAAAAAAGATATTTTCTTCTACTAAGAGTATGAAAAAGATATCACCAATAACATTTTCTTGGAAGGAATAAATTTTTTTCTCAGTGTATGCCTGGATATTCTCCCCTCACTCCACCGTTTCTCCCATCGTACCTCTAATCAACAAGCTCTCCCGCAGTAATATGTTTCTACATAAGTAAAAGATCATTATTGACGGGAATATAAATTTTCGAAGAATTGATCGAAGAATTTTTTTCAACATTTACTATATTTCAAAATACTTTGTTATTCGTTATGTTTCAAAATTATTGACTGAATTCCTAATAATAGATTCGAGTTATTAGAGATTGATAGTTCATGAAAGGTCGTTTTCCGCTGAAAAAAATTAGTATGTTAAAACAGAAAAAGAAATCTTCGAGAAGAGTTCAAAGCTTTAATAATTATAATTTAATAATTCAACAATTTTTGTTCGGATAATTACAATGTAATTTATCAAATGCAAGACTAGTTGCACTAAGCTGTACGTTCTCCATGAGAGATGAAGTGTGAAATAATCAGTCGAGTTTCATCTACAAATATTATGCACCTTAATATTTCAACCTTCATTGTTGTCTCATGATAATAGGAGGCTGAATTTTCGAAGATTTCGTTGATTCCAGCAACGTCTAATTGTTCTCTAACCGCGCTCTACTGCATTAGTATGCACTACGCAGACACGACGGTTTGATGGCAATCGGGACGGTAAGGGAACCGAGTAGCGTTGCCAAGCTGGAAAGCGGGAAAGATGGTACTCGCGCAGTAAAATAATGGCATTTGCGTTGTAATGGTGGCATACATGAATAATTCAAAAAAAAATTATTAAAAAGGAACTTTAGTCTATCTACTCAATAAACTCATTTATTCAACACATTCAATAGATATATCTCAATATTATACTTAGAATCTACCCTATTCTTTGGGAAAGTATGCGATAAATACTTCATTTTTTTGAAAATTATCAAAACTATTGACTTTCGAAGACACCGTCATCGTCCTCACTTTCCTCGTCCCCGATCAAACTAAAAATAGGACCGAACCTTGTTTCAGACTTGATCTTCTTAGGTAGATAGAGAGAATTCTTCGTCATCCTTTGCTAGCATATCACTGGATGGTGTGAACGAGCAACACCCTCCACTATCTTTCATCAACAACGACAGAAGAGGTACGAGACTGGAAGTCGTTTCTCTCATTTGAGGGGCTTGCTGCGGCTGCAAAATCTTCAGTTTTTGGAGCATTTCATCATCAAAATCAAACCTCTCTCGGATCTAAAGAGTACCAGGATGAGGAAATTACGGCAACATTCAAAGAAGTTGTCCATGCACTTAATGAATTCTGCAGTTTTTGGCAAAGTTGGATCCTGTAATTCTGTCATATCAGCCCCCAAGTATAATTGAGAAATTGGTTTGAACTGCATCTTGTCCTCTGGATTTATCGCTGATAGGTTTGTAGATGATACATAACTCCCTTTCATGTAGGACGACAATATATCCATGTAGAGCTGTTTCATGACATCATAAACTTCTGTAATCACCACTTTACTGGACTGAAAGTACTAATTAGTGCAGGTGAATTTTGGCAGAACCTACCTCAGGAAAAGAAAATACAGGGTCATGACTCGATTATTCAATTCCTTGTCGATGGATTTGACTACCAGCAACTTTGCAACCAGCACTTGTGCTCCAAAATAAGCCTTCAGAGGTGTCCACTGCTCCAAAATCCTCTCCACAACTCTGGTGAGTGACAGCCAACGGGTTTGAGCTGGGTGGAGTAGTTTGTGAGGTTCAATTTCATAGAACTCTTAAAATTCAGCGAATTCTGTTAAGCGTTTGCAGCTCTGTGAGAAGTAGTTATAAATACTGTGTGCTAAATTCTCGGGTGAACGAGGAAGATTCAAGCAGGCACAACTCGCACAAATGGCCAACGAATGACAGATGCATTTACCGATGGAAATTCTTGGGTAATCTCGTTTCATACGAGAGGCAACAGAGTTTTTTTTCCCCATCATAATACTGCATCCATCTGACGCAAATCCTATTAGATTCTCTTTTGGAATTCCATGTTCGGCGAGACTCGATGTTATACAGTCGTAGAGGCGCTCACCGGTGGCAGATACAGCTTTATTAGACACAAGAACTTTGCACAAATCCCAGAATTTAGTCATAATACGGCCAGCCTCATCATAGTATCTAATCATCATGCAGCTTGATTTTATGACTGAAACATCAGTGGACTCATCACTCAACACACTGAACTTGGTATTTTGCAATTTCTGTTTGAGTGTCTGCTTTGCTGAAGCTCCAATAACATTCTTGGCAATCGCCGTTTCCTTTATTCATTTCAATGTCATTTTTTTAGCGACTTTGCTGTCTGGAAAAGATTTTTTCATAACATCAGTGAGGTGGTCCAATGCTTTGAATGGGATGTTATGTTCTGTCAGAAACTCTACAATCAAGATTTCTGCTGATTTAACTGCCTTATCCATCAGGATTTCAGAGTTGGTAGGGCCTTGCATAGAGAATTCCTTCACTTTAGGATTCACAGGTTTTGCAGCACTGCAGTTTTGAATGTGCTTCTGCGTTCCCAAATATTTCTTCAAAACACGCACTTCAGCAGTCATTTGTGAATTGCACAATTTACATTTAGCTTTTAGAGGGTCATTGGGAATTCGTTCGAGCCAATGTTTAAAGTCTGCTTGTGATAACCATGCATCCCGAAATTTCTGAGCTGATTGGATTTTTAGAGTATCAGCTGTGTGTTTTTTCTTTGGTGGAGTGTGTAATGGATTCAAATTTTCGTTAGATATTATAAACCTGTAAATGTTGAAACATTGAATTGTTAACTAGCGAATAATGTTAAACCAAGCGGGTAACCATTCGTCACATACTTAATTGCTTCAGTTATTGTTTCAACATTAAATCTGTTCTCCTGAAGATTCCTGGATATTCTCACAATGATTGCCTTAAATATGAAAACTTTAGCACGATAATTGTCACAAGAATTAAGAACGTCGAGATTTCACACCACAGCAAGAATTTTTCAAAGAACGTACTCTGAAGTAAAGCGAGTCCACCGTTAATGAAACGAATTTGGTGAGTGGACGGAGCTCTTTAATATACGTTTCCTATTGGCTGAAACCTCAAATTTCAGGGTGCTCCATTATCGACTGACGATGCTCAAATTTAACTGCACCGACTGAGAATTATGGATTTACCGTTCATGTTTCCACTCGAAACGCGACTCTTACTCATACTGGTTTTCAAAAAACGATCCAAATACTAATCTCTTCCTTTTTTTGTTGGTTCTATTTAATAACAAGTACTGTGGAATCCTTCATGATACCCGAAATATAGAAAGAAAAAAATAAACGAAGACGATAAGGAACCTACTTTAAGTCCCTCAACACGAAAATTGATATACACACCTCGCCATGGAAAACATATCACCCTCCCCCACGGGCCTGCCATTCTCGCCTTCGGCTTGGAATGCATGTGGGGGACGGTGATATGTTTTCCAAGGCTCGGGCATGTAATGTCCTATTTCATGCTTCTGTGTGGCAAATTTACGCCCGCGTAAAACCTAACCTGCGCGGAAACAGTGAATTTGCCGCGCAGAGGCATGAAAGAGTATATTTCAGGACGAGTGCCATGGGGTTTTTTACTCAAATGGGATTGGCGAGCCAATCTCACGCATGGGATGGCATGGCGTGGCATGGGTTTTGGCGTCCGAGCCGAAGCGAGGACTGGCCAACCACGCGGGTAAAAAAACTCCATGGCACTAGTCGTGAACGATATTTTTGTGCAATGATTTTCACTTTTACGAGTTTGGGGAAGGGCCAATACCAATCCCCGGACGAGGAAAAGTGAAGGTCAGTACGGAAAATACTATTTGGGGGACACTTGACATTACCTTCCCCTATCATACTTTAGGCGGGAGCCTTCAAATATTACGCCACGCATTTTTTTAGACATTTTAGACCCCCCCTCACCCCTCCGTCACAAAACCGTCACAAGCGTGAACCCGCCCTTATATATTACGTCATGAAATCAGCGACCCCCCCCCCTTTTTGTAGAGAACAATGTTGTTTTTTTTAGGGTAAAAAAAAATCTCGTGAATAATCAATTCCTTCTTCGATACTTTCTGAATATGTCAACTTATTATCACAGCATTAAAAAAATAATTTCCGTTTGTGAATCGTTGGGATACTTGGAAGAAAAAAAATTCTTCAAATAATTAGCCGCATGGGCAAGTCAAATGAATTTTCATTAAAAATGAGTGAAAGGTCATTTGAAAACCCTGATACGAGCAGTTGTTTTCAATTAATGAACACTTCACCGCTCCATTCTTCGTCCTCGTCGTCTTCAATATTACATGTGACTGCCAAAAGTTCCCTTTGACGGTTGACAGCAATTCGCGCAGAACACACATTTGGAATAACTGCCATCACACCAGTGTATCGCTACTACTCTCCCGAATTGCAGAGATATGCAGAATTGTTGGAAAGGTGGCGCCAGCTTCCGGTCCCACTGGGCTTAGGCCCTTGCGTATGATATATATATATATATATATATATATATATATATATATTCGTTATGGGGAGACTAGATCTTGCGCATGCGCGGATCTCCTCTCCATCAGGTTGTAACTTGTGAGAGTTCACTCTACTGCTCTACGCGAGACGAGAGAGACGTGTTGTACCCAATAAACCAGTGTTCTAACAAGAAAACCCGTGTACTATTTATTGTGTCCACACCCATAATCCAATAATAATAAATCTCACATTTTTAGCTTCCTTTCTAGGTTGATGTCCGGTTTTCTTTTGGGGGAACGGACAGATGAAAAATAGTACTGTTCATACTAGGTCGAAAGAAACTTTTCTGGCGAATATGAGTTTGCAACACGAGCTGAAGGCCAGGTCTGCAATCATATGAGCTAGAAAAGTTTTTTAAGCCGTATGACGAACACTATTTTTTATCATAAGGCTGTAAAAAACGATTCACGGACGCGTAGCGTCCGTAAAACGCTGCCTTATGGCCGGAATGACAAAAAGGTGCATTCCTGATGTTTGAAATTAAAAAAAAAAGAATATGGTGTGACATCACAATCTAAGCAACAACCCCTCCCCCCTCCGTCAGAGTCATCACGAAATGCAGACACCCCTCCCCCCCTAATCGCGTGACGTAATATTTGAATGCTCCCTTAGGAAATAAGCCGACTTAATTATGGAATTGGCCTCAGAAGCGAATGTAGCAGTACGGACCCCCGAATGCTTCTCATATGGCACAGTGCATAAGTGCGAGTGAGGCGATGATTTTTATGAGTGTCTCCCTCCCTCCCGCGTAGATTGAATATAAATTAATTCTAATAACTGACGATCAACATCCAATTATGTCGGATGGTCGTTTCGTGGAGAAAGGGGGATGAAAATTGTTGAGGCGGGCGATAAGAGGCCTAGCATTAGGAAAACAGTGGGCTACAGTGGTAGTGGTGAGTGAATATATTTCATCCCCAAAGACTTGTTTTTTGGAATTCATTTTTCAAAAACCACCCTCTCATTTATAAGAAGCTCCATGAAGAAGGGGTGAATAGATTTCATCCCTAAAATTTTTTTTGGAATTCATTTTTCAAGTAAACCTTCTCCTTTTGAGGGGTTTATGGAGAAGGTGTGAATATATTTCATCCACAAAGACTTTTTTGGAATTCATTTTTTAAATACAGCGTCTTATTTATGAGTGGGTTCATGGAGAAAGGGTGCATATATTACATCCGCAAATACTTTTTTTTTTAAATTCATTTCACAATCATATTCTCTGATTTGTAAGGGGGTTCGTAAAGACGAGGTAACTATATATCATCCCCAAAAAATTTCATTTTTTTTAGAAGAGATTTTTCAAATACACCTTTTGACTCGTGAGGGGTTCGTGGGGAAGGGATAAATATATATATCATCCTCGAGGACTTTTCTTTTGGAATTCATTTTTCAAATAAACCCTCTCATTTGTGAGGAGGTTCATGGGGAACGGGTGAATATATTTCAGCTCAAAAACTTTTTTTTACTTCATGTTTCAAATAAACTCTCTCGTTTATAAGTTCATTATCTCATTATTCAATTATCTGTCCGGAAACGGTTATGTGTAGGAGAAAATGCCTAAGACTATGAACTATTGCATTGAAGGTGAGAGTATACAACCGTTACGACCGTTTTCTGGAAAAAAGTTCGAAACTAAGGTTGATATTGCGCCTAAAAAACAGTCTTGATCTACAACTCTGAAGAGTTTTCTATATCTGAATTTAAGAAGGGACGATTAAATTAGTGATAGAACCTTTTTTCTTAGCTATTACTTTTCTTTACAAAATGGCCAAATCTATTCAAAACGAAAAAACTCACCTCCAGCTGCGTAAATCCCGTCCAAACTCGTTGAATATTTCCCTCCAGGTGTCTCGTAATTCCCCCTTCCGTCCAACTTTATCTTAAGTTCCTCTGCAATATACTTCTCCGGTCCCAAGAATCCCATTGCCAATAGCACAAGATTGCACTTGTAAATCTTCTCCGAACCTTCGACCTCTGCCATCTTCCACCTGCCTGCCTCATCCTTCGTCCACTCTACTGTGACCGTCCTGATCCCCGCGACATTTCCCGTACCATCATCCAAGAACTCCTTGCTCAGTGTACTGAACTGCCTGGGATCCCCACCAAATTTGAGCGCTACCTCCTCATGTCCATAATCAACCTTGAATACTCTCGGGAACTGTGGCCAAGGGTTATCGTTTGCCCTCTTCTCCCCGGGCTCAGGAAGAATCTCGAAACTAGTAATGGACTTGGCGCCTTGCCTCAAACTCGTAGCAATGCAATCACAGCCAGTATCTCCGCCCCCAATAATAATAACATCCTTGTCCTTAGCCATGAGTTTCATATTCAAAGGTGCATCACTCCCCATCTGCTTTTTCTGCCAGTGCTCCAAGAAACTCACAGCAAAGTGAATTCCTTCCAGATCCCTTCCAGGAATGGGCAAATCTCTGGGCCATGTGGCACCAGTGCACAACAATACAGCATCAAACTCCTGTTTCAACTCTTCACCCGTAATATCCTTTCCAACATTAACTCCAGTCTTGAATACAATCCCCTCAGCAGCCATCAACGAGACTCTCCTCTGCACCACTTGCTTCGACAGCTTCATGGTAGGAATCCCATACTGCAGCAGTCCCCCCACCCTGTCATTTCTCTCGAAGACAGTGATCACGTGACCAGCCTTGTTGAGCTGCTGGGCAGCGGCTAGTCCAGCTGGGCCACTCCCCACAATAGCAATTCGTTTACCGGTTCTGGATAATGGTGGACAGGGAATGATCCAGCCCTGCTCAAATGCATGATCGATAATTGCACATTCGATATTCTTGATAGTGACTGGGGGTTCAGAGATACCTAGAACACAAGCGCCCTCACACGGGGCTGGACAGACTCGCCCAGTGAACTCAGGGAAATTGTTTGTCTGGAGGAGTTGTCGAAGAGCTTCTTGCCAGTTTGATTGGAATACTAAGTCGTTCCATTTAGGAATAATATTTCCCAGGGGGCATCCATAGCTACTCTGACAGAACGGCACTCCGCACTCCATGCATCTGGCTGCTTGAACCTTCAGACCTGCAATTGTTATGAATATTTACTTTATTTATGGACGAGATCAGCCTTACCTATAATATCTGATAAATACAATTTTCATTATACGATTCAACCACCCATTATATTCATCTCATGATATTTGTTTTCTATAATTTGACCAATATCATTCATGCCACAATATTTGTTCTATCCTCTGTGAGAGTAACAACATGTGAGAAAATTCTTGTTTGAGTCAAAAAAGAAATTCAAGTTGCAACAACGAAATATCTGATACAAGAAGAGAATCGGCTTACGTTCATGAGCGCCAGATCTAGTTCGTCCTACTGACATTGAAAGACGCTACTAATACCCTAGTGCGCTTCTCAACCGAAAATAGACGAGGTCATGGAGTGATAACCAATCAAAAATCTGGTGGGAGTAGCCTGAAGTTCAATTTTCTGTTTCTAATGCGTTGTAGAGAATATTATGAATCTGATACATAAATCCGTGAAGAGTTGAGGTCATTTTGGAGATTCGCATAAATCGGTATAAGGCGTTGTGTTCATCATAGTATTATCTCTCCATAATAACAAAAAAGTAAGGAGGGTAAAAATTCAGGGGACGCCCCTATTGCTAACCTTAAATCTGACCCTATGCTTGATTCTGTTTCTGACCCTCATTATACTCCTATTTCTGAGCTTTATATTTCACCCTTTTTCTGACCCTGAACCTGACACTGTCTCTGACCCTCATTGTGATCGTAGTTTTGACTCTCATTCTAATCATAATACCCAATGCCGGCCCAATATTGGGCAAAGGTCGGGTCAAGATTGGGTTAGGGGCAACGTCGGCTTAGAGTCGGGCAATACTGGCCAGGGCCGGCAAGTTTAGATTTTTCCGGGTATGGAGTAATGCAGAAGTGGCGGGGGGGTGTAGCGTCTCGCTACACAAACACCAACGCGTAACACACGCATGGATACGACAACGCTGAGAGACGACTGGACATCGGTGACATCATCGCGCTCTGTCACGCGCCCAGTATAAAATACCTCTCGCTCGCACCTATTGTCATGCGTATCCAAATTCCCGTCTTACGCGGTTTAAGATAGTAAGTAGAGTCTAACACTGACCTCCGATCAGATCACTTTGATTATTCTTTCTCTTTTGTATATATTCTAAACGTCTTGATTAAACTGTAATTTATATTCTAAATTACATTTGTTAGTGAATTGTTACATCCCTCAACTACCCCAATTCCTACAGGGGGGGGGGAGGGAGCAGTCGTTGTAGGTACCAAGGATCAGGCACTGAGACGGGTCACAAGGGTCCCAAGGGATACGAGGATAAAAGAAAAATGGAAAAATTCAAAATAATATGTAGATAGAAAAGTAAAAGATGAAAATAAATATCGACCAATGGGTATTGAAAAATATCAGTTTTATTTCTTCATCTGGCTGGATAGAGCAAACGTGTTCATCCACACTCTACTTTTCATAATGAATTCATCAATTGTTATGTCGAGATTCAGTTCTGCAATTTCTTCGCTATGAATGTTCAATATTGAAATAGCATTGAGTCTGGTCTGTTTCATTGTTGATCGTAGATACGTTTTCAATCTTCTTAACGTTGAGAATGACCTCTCAGCTATGCAGGTAGAGTGGAAATTCTGTTGACGTCTCGATCAGAAACTGATCGAGTCCGATCCGAAATTCCGATCAGGCGTGTTACGCCTCTGCCTTATGTTTTTCCACTAGGGTAGAGTGGGACACAGTTAGAATTAACCTGATGAATTTCGCGAATTGAGGAAGTAAAGAGGTTACTGAAGGATTTTCTCTAAGGAACTGAATCACGTCCATGAGACTGGAGACTTTAACATTCCTCTCCCGCAGGATGTCATGAAACATTGTCACATGAAGATGTAGTTGGTCTTCATCGAAATCACTATGCTCCTCAATGACTTCATTCTTCTCGATCGTTCAATTATAGAAAGAAGTTATGGTGAGGACTGGAACTTCGTTCCAACTGGAACTTCGTTCCAGTCCTCAACATAACGTTACCATTTTCTTCTGCTCGAATGATGAACTTCTCAACTTGACACAAGAATTTCATTTCCTTAGTCGAAAAACGATGGGTCAATGAAAAAATCACCTGCTCGAGAATTTCGAAGTACATTTTGCGATGGTAATCTTCTGCTTATGTGAACTGATGGGCAGCTGAGCCAGAATCGAGACGTTTTGGTATTTTTCGAACTCGAGGAATTTTTGGCTCATTGAGAAACAGGTCTTTCGCCCCATCAACTACGTGCCTCCACGTTTCTTCAAATCCCAGACTTCTTAGCTGTTTAAGAGATTCGTTAACAGCCATAATTTTCTGAAGCTGTCCTTTAAGTACCTCCACCCTGTCAAATATATTGATCATTGCAACCAACATAAAACAGAATGGAAACCTCTCTAGTCGATCTGAAAAACCTCTTGCTTTGGCCATTGCACTTGGGTCCGAGTCTTCAGCTTGTGTCGTGAGGGAGAAAAATTCCAAGAGTGCTGGATAGTTTATGTGAAGTGTCTTGAGGGATTTGACTCGCACACACCATCTGGTAATGAGAATATCCAATGAATGAAGCGCAATTATTTATTTCCGTAATGATTTTACAAACCTGGTAGAGCAAAAAGGGGTGAGAATGGGAGCATTATCTGACTGTAGGTCCTTGAAAATCGCTAAACGCTTTGGGGAATCTCTCACAAACGTGATAAGCTCTCTAACACTTCCAAGGAACTCTTTGGCACAAAAAACCTTCTCCATTGCATCTTGGACAGCCTAATTTACCCTATGTGGAGCACAATGAACCTATAATGCCCTTGGTTCCACATCACCAATTCTTGCCTGTAAACCTGTGAGCTCCCTACTGACATTGGAGGCCCCATCGAAACATCCATTACAATTTTAAATAGAGTTTCTGCCTTCGTATTGCTTGTTTCATAAAATCCAAGAAAAATCTCTTTTATAGCAAAATTTTCCTCAACAATTCTAATCGACACAGAGATCTCCTCACATCTCGTTAGATCGGACGTGTCATCAATAATCAAGGAGTAGAAACCTGCTGCTTTGATGTCAGTCAAAAGTTTTTGGATAACTTTCTCACCCATGATTTGAAGCATTTCATTGATCGATTCGTGAGAAATCCATTTAAATCCAGTCGTGTTCAGCCATGTCTTCAAGTCTGGACAGTCTTTAGCTCTCATCCTTAGTAGTTGCATTAGGTTCGAATTTTCCTCATTGCCATCACCCTGGAAAGTCAAGCCTTGTTGAGCCTACTTATACAGTCCGGGTATGGAGTTCTCCATACCGCCGGAGGGAACTTGCCGGCCCTGATACTGGCCATATTTATGACCAAATATCGCCGAATTGTGGACATTCCTCATATATGAGCTCCCTCATGATGTTCTTCCATTATTGTCTTACATCTTTTTATATTATAAAAATCCAAATCGACTTTTGATGATGAAAATTTTGTACTCAAAATTAAGACGTAGAAATAAAGGGTCAGAAACTAAGGACCACAAAGTACACGGGGGTCATATGGGATTATAAGGGGTCATTGGGGCTTATACGGGGGGCATATGACGGTCAAATGGGGGGTGAAAAATGAGAAAACATGAGAAATTTAAAGTGGTTGTATCCCACTATGAAAGGCAATGATAATTGGAGCCTTTTTTGTGAATATGATGGTTATAAAATGCTGATCGTAAACAGTTCGGAGCGTTATGTTTTACTTTTTTTTCAATTTCTCAGGTGAACCGAGTCTGTTGAGAATGACTACCACTGATATTACTTATCCAACGCCTGTCAAGAATATACAACCTAAACGTACCCACGGATGTAGAGGGGTGGGGGGGGAGTGAGGAGGTGAAGCGAGCAAAGTGAGCAGGGGGCGACACTCCCTAATGTGTAATATATATTACCCCTGTGAAATTGACCCAATAGGATCATAATTAGGGGGATTCGAGTGACGGTTAATAATGCGTTAATAATGTGCTTTTTATGTACTGAAGAAAAAAATTTTGTACTCAATTAGGTCATTAAAAAAGGGCATTTGACAGTTTGCGCTCTAAATTGTGATTTTTTGAGTCGAGTTGCATTATCTATTAAATGTGTCATTTTTGTATCAACGGAAAAATTCCCCAGATACCATTAATTTTGTCCAAATGAGACAGTAAATATTGGAAGTACAATTTGGGCGGTTTAATTGTGGGACGTTAATCTACCAATTATGTGCTTTTTATGTACCACAGAAAACAAAGTATCAGCTCGGTAAATTTTATGTAAAATACTTGCGAATTTTCAAAAGTATACTTTGAGCGGTTTTACAGGTGACTGTACATCTGTAAATAATGTGTTTTTTTCTACTATCAAAAAAGTCTATTGGGAACAGGAAATATCGTTGAGGGCGCTGTTTTCTGCCAATATGGCCGTCAAAGAGGTACACACACGCGTTCACACAAGCCCCCATTTGCTTGTGTATCGTAGATCTGCACCCTTAACGCAGAGATTAATAGAGGGCGTCTTGTTATTTAGCGTCCCCAATTGTTCTGAGAGAATTAATTAAAAAGGCGATAACAACAGCTGTGGTTGTTTTCTTCAAAACCATTGGATGCAAAAATTGTGCTAATCAATGCGTCATCATTCTATGTGATTTCCAAATCAACTTCAATCATGATTATGGACTCATCATAATAACAATCGACAACCCATATTCGTGAGGCCCATGAGTCTGAATTAGTACCCCAGAAAGGGAGGATAGGGACCGGGGAATTTAAATAAAGAAACCTGCACCAAAGAAATATGTATTATCCGATTTGAACCACCGAGTAATTATGTACTCTTCAGGCACATAGCCATGGACTACTTGTCCACGTAAATCATCATGACTCAGAGAATTTGAGCGGAAAATAACTCTTTGATTTATGGGCTCCCCAAATCTAGTCGAATTATAATTATGTACCCATTATACAGGATACTCTCCAGTAAGAGGATCGACTAGATCT